ACGCTCACTTTTTACCACACTTAGCAATAAGTCCATCGTTCGGGACAGATACAAGTTTAATCGAGTCACTCATATGAGACTCATAATCATACGCTCTTAATAATCACGAGTCCATCGTTCGGGACAACGTGAATCTTTAAATTTCGGGAACTACAGTCCATCAATCGGGATTTAAAGCAATCGATCTAATTGTCCAATATTAACACTAGGTTTACGGGCATTTATTATACACTTCATTCTATTATTCCTAAAAGAATTGATGCTCGTTTATTTAGATTGTGTAAACTGGAGATTCGATAGTAGGTAATTGGGGTAAATGTCAGTGTGATTGCATCAATCAAAATCGGCGTAAACATTTACAAAATAATATTTCTAAAATCCAATATGCGTCAATTTGACGCGTTCCGTAAACCTAGTGTTAATTTGGCGGACAAGTGTCAAGAAGAGTCGCGTACCGACAGGTGACTTCGAGATTTACGACGCCGAACAGAATTATAATTCGCGCGGTAAATCGTGACACGACGAACACGCAATTCGTTTCAGACAGCGTTTGCACTGCCCGGCGGAACGCGTTCGTCCGAACGAATCGAAAGGCTGACACGGTGATCGTTCGTTCATCGCGAGAGATGAATTGTTTTTTTGAATTGCAAAGGGAAGTGGGATTGTTTAAAATGATTATATTATGACGTTGCGTGGTGGATGTTTGATTATTGAGAGTGGAATATATTTTGATTAATCGCGGAGGCAAATGGAATAGGTCGAATTGAATATTACATTTTAATATTGCTGAACGATTGGTTATTTAACGAACGCGGGGAGCGTGTTTTATTTATATTAAAGAGCACGACGGTTTATATAACATCGCGCCACTTTGCGATTTATTATTTCGACGCTGCTGTTCGATAAATGTTCTCTTGGGGGGAATGCATGTCGAAATAATTCCTTCAGCGATCGCGTTGACGTGTTTCGTTGAATATTTCCTGCGCCCGGGTGGTACAATTACCACTTGTTGACGTCGGAACTGAATTTAATTGCGTCTCGAGTGAAATATGAGTTGCGCTGTGATTGTGGAGTGCTCGTTTTTGTCGAATCGATGCGCCTTCTGCTCGCGTCAGTGGAACAGATGTGTCTCCGATTAGACGATGAAGGTTTTGAAAAGCCGAAATGATCATTCGTTTCGGAGTATTGTAGTATTTCGTGGTATCTACGCACTTCTGCCTTGCAAATCTATTCGTTCGGCAATTAAGCAATTAAGAACTGGTGACTACTGATTTGGAACGTGAACGAGGTACCTATATAAAGTATCAGTATCAGTGTCTTTACCTGATGACGTCGTTATTTTGAACATCTACTATCTATAAACATATGTTTCATTCACAAAACCGTAAGTATTACCGCCTTTCTCTACTTTCTATGACCTTCAATGACCTTATGTAACAGGTCGTTGAACTCGTTCTAACCGTTTGGAAAAATGCGGAAGTGATTGGGTGTGTATGCAAAAGAATTAATAAGAGTACTTGTCTAATGAGCTCACAAATATTGTGTTATTACAAAAAAATATCAAAAAGTAACATTTACTCAGATAAATTTACTTTGATTTATTTCTTGAAGAACATAGAATTCTTCTTCATAAATATACCGATCCATTTAAAAAACTGGAGGTGACCTTCAAATGTACGAAGTTGGTACCGGATGGTCTCCTTCGTACTGTGCAATTTAATTTCACCAAATATCTCTGTGAAACTTATAATTTTGAAGATATCCGAGGTGCTAATAGTTATCGCCCCACCCTGTACATAACAAGCCACGTACGACTGCAAATTCTGCAATAGTCGAACAAGAAAAAATCTGAACTTTAAGAGCCTGCGAGAACCGTGTTCCGTTAGGTACCGTCATAAACCGGGACCCAAGCATTCGGAGCCCTTATGACGGTGAGAAGTCGCAAGAATCCGATCGCGCTCACCTCTCGCTTAGGACGACGACGATCAGGCCTCGGAAAACCGGCAACGCTGGGTTTTTCCCTAAAAAGAAGTGGGGCGCGGACCTTCCTTCTCAACCTCTTAGGCACGGCTGAATTTTCCGCGGGGCTGTTTCTCTGTACGGCAGAGTTCTGTACGGACAATGCTGTTCTCTACGCGAGTACATTGGAATGAAGCTTTTGATGATTAAATTACAATTTTTCTGAAAGATATGATACACATAATTTAACTTTAACAATTTACTTTAATAATTAGTAATACAATTGGGTATGATCTATGATATATTGGTAGCGACGGAGCCACTATAGTGGCGAGGCGTTCAGAAAGATGACACCCGCGAAAGTCACTATAGTGGCGCGTCGCGCCTAAGAGGTTACGGAGCGGAAAAACGGAGAAAGACATCTTTTTGGCGGGTAAAAACACGAGAGTCAAAACACGGAAACTTCCGATAGTCATGAACGCGTCGGTCTTGTAAAATAAAGAATTCATCCTGACCGGAATTCTGTGTTATCATTGAAACCACCGTTACAGAACTGTCCTTTCGAACTGTCCGCAGGAGCCGACAACAGCTCTGGGCGTAGTCGGGGTTAACGATGAGCGGATCGAGACGAGCCGGCCAAGGAGCGGCGCGATAATAATAACATGTGGACGACGTGGCCGCGTACGAGGCGCAAGTGGCGTGGGTCGCCGCGTAGCGAGCACGGTGCCCGCGGCAGCCGCGACGGATTCCGTTTCATCTACTCCGTGGTGTTGGCCGCGTGCATGGCGGCGCAGGAAGCGAGGAGTGCCAAGTGTCCGCCGCCGGACACGATACCCGGCTGTCCCTGCTACAATTTCGAGGACGGCCTGTTCCTGGAATGCGCCGGGACCACCGAGGAGTCCCTCAGGAGCGCTTTGTCCGGCGTGATACACGCCGCCGAGGGAGAAGGTAACTCGCGCGCGTGCGTTCTGCCGTGGCCGACGAATAAATTTCGATGAAACTGGGTATTCGCTTTCCGCAAGCCGGGATCTTGTACCGCTTTCCCTTCGGAGACCTTAACACATTGAGCACCGGCGACTTAAAAGACATTTAAAGCCTGAGCGCTGGCAACGTATCGGCCACTTAGCCCAAACGCCTTCATTCGCTTGTATCTGATCAATGAGTAGCCAAAAAAAATATTCAAAACATTATACACTTTCGTAAAATAGTACATTTTAATTGCATAAGCCTGCGTTTACTAGGATTTCAACTGAGTTGTATTTCAGTTTTATCGTTACTGAATTAATCGCGTTAATCATTTTCCGTAGTACTTAGAAGTTTCAGTAACTGTAAAAGAAGAAACCGAAAATAAGTCGGTTTAACCCATCTGGCAGTGTTAACAATCGTGTTCCAAATTTTCTAAATTTTGTCAATCGTTACAGATTTTCTCATCGATTTTTGTGCATGCTTGTATAACGTAAGTTGAGTATAAAGCGACAAGTAGTTCAGTGAAGTCTTTTTGAATCTAGGTCAAAGTAGACACTGTAGATGGAGAACTGAACGGATCGAACTGTATTACAGAGTACAAAGACATTTGTGTTAGTACATTTCAATTGCATATTCGTCACACTCAGAAATGGAAATCCAGGAATCCGCATTATTGCGGAGCTCAAGCGATAGGATAAGGAAACGGAAAAGATATAATGTTCAATAATTTGAAGTGCATTGTTATTGCTCGTTGATTTAGTTGAACGAGACGCAGCATTATTTATAATATAGAAATGCTTGCAGATAAGCATCGTTTAATTGAATGAACTGTAGTCACTCGACCTGGTTGGGTCACCGGTGACCCCACGGCATTCAACGTGTTAAATAAGTAGACATGCACAGTTTTGCTGTTAAATTTAAGAGTATTCATGAGGAAAGAAGATTGCAAGTGTATTAGGAAGGTTAGACAAACAAATTGATACCGAGGAATTGCGATTGAGTTAAAGAGTCCTGAAGAACGTAGCAGAGTTAACACTAGGTTCACGGGCATTTATTGTACACTTCATTCTATTATTCCTAAAAGAATTGATGCTCGTTTATTTAGATTGTGGAAACTGGAGATTTGATACTAGGTAATTGGGGTACATGTCAGTGTGATCGCATCAATCAAAATCGGCGTAAACGTTTACAAAATAATATTTCTAAAATCCAATATGCGTCAATTTCACGCGTTCCGTAAACCTAGTGATAATCGTATAATAACACAACGACTGTTCCAGGAGCGGTAGTACAGTCCCTGAGCGTCTACGAGCTAGACAGAAAAGTGGAGGAGCTCCGTGCAGCCGCGTTTCCGGCCGGCTCGCAGATCAGGCACCTGCAGATCTCTCACTCGGCGATCCGCGAGATCAGCGAGGACGCGTTCAAACGCCTAAGCAAGAGCCTGGAATCCCTGGGACTAGTTTCAGGCCGCCTAGCACACGTGCCACAAAAAGCAATGGCCACTTTGAGCTATTTGAAAGCCTTGGATCTGGAAGCAAACCTGGTGCACGAGCTACCTAGCTACAGCTTCTACGGATTGTCGTTGATAAAGCTGAACCTGAAAGGCAATCAGATAGTTAAAATCTCGGAGTACGCATTCGCTGGCCTAGAGGACACTCTAACTGACCTGGACCTGGCGGAGAACAAGATCAGAGTGTTCCCGATGACGTCTCTCAGACGACTGGAACACCTAACCTCGTTGAGGCTCGCCTGGAACGAGGTGTCCGAGCTGCCGGAAGACGGCTACTCCCGTCTGGACGCGTTGAACTTCCTCGATCTCAGCAGCAACAACTTCAAGAAGATCCCTCTGAACTGCTTCCGGTGTTGTCCGTCCCTGAAGATACTCTCGTTGTACTACAACGCCGTCGAGTTCGTCGACAAGGACGCGTTCATCTCGTTGATCGACCTGGAGTCCATCGATCTCAGTCACAACAAGATCGTTTCCCTGGACGTTTCCACGTTCAGAGCGAACCAGAGGCTCAGGTCGATCGATCTCAGCCATAATCACATACACTACATACGCGGTGTGTTCTCCAAGCTGCCTGAACTGAAGGAGCTCTTCCTAGCTGAGAACAACATACTCGAGATACCAGCGGAGACTTTCGCCGGCAGCAGCAGTCTATCCGTGGTCTATCTTCAGCAGAACGCTATCAGAAGGATCGACGCCAGAGGTTTAGCTACCCTGAGTCAGCTCGCTCAGTTGCACCTCAGCGGCAATTACATCGAGAAGGTTCCCAGAGACTTTCTCGAGCACTGCGAGAACCTCTCCACGCTCTCGTTGGATGGTAACAACATTCGGGAGCTGGAAGTGGACACTTTCGCCAAGGCGAAGTCATTGAGGGAGCTAAGACTGCAGGACAACCAGATCACCGAGGTGAAGCGCGGCGTGTTCGCGCCGCTGCCGTCCCTGCTGGAGCTTCATTTGCAGAACAACGCGATCTCCGACATAGAGACAGGCGCGCTGAGGTCTCTGCACAGCTTGCAGCACGTGAACCTCCAAGGCAATCTGCTCGCAGTGCTGGGAGACGTGTTCCAAGTGTCGAACGACGTTGGTCAAAACGGGAACAGCGGCAGCTCGCTCGTCTCCATTCAACTGGACAACAACGGACTCGGCGTGCTTCACAATGACTCTTTGAGGGGCCAGGCGTCGGTCAGGATCATGTGGCTGGGTCACAACAGGCTGACTCGCCTGCAGGCGCCGTTGTTCAGGGACCTTCTGCTCGTCGAAAGACTGTACCTGACGAACAACTCGATATCGCGGATAGAAGACACCGCGTTCCAACCGATGCAGGCGCTCAAGTTTCTCGAGTTAAGTATGAACAGACTCAGCCACGTCACCATAAGGACTTTCTCCGAGTTGCACGAACTGGAGGAGCTCTACCTGCAGGACAACGGACTGAGTCACTTAGATCCTTACGCTCTGACTGCTCTCAAACGCTTGAGAGTCCTCGATCTGGCGAACAACCATCTGAACGTGCTGCACGATAAGATCTTCCAAGAGGGGCTGCCGATCAGAACGCTGAATCTGAAAAACTGCTGCGTCAGCGTCATCGAGAACGGCGCGTTCCGAGGGCTGAACAACCTCTACGAGCTGAATCTGGAGCACAATCATCTCACTGCCTCCGCTTTAGATCGCTTGGACATCCCCGGCTTGAGAATACTGAGGATATCTTACAACAACTTCAGTCAGATCAACGCGAACTCCTTAGACGGGCTGCCCTCCCTCCAGCACCTAGCCATGGAGTCCTCTCAGCTGCACATAATGCCGCCGGAGATATTCTCGAAGAACAAAAACCTGGGGAAACTATTGCTGAGCAACAATCTCCTGAAAATGCTGCCTGGTCTGCTGTTCTTAGGACTGGAAACCTTGAAGGAGGTGAAGCTCGATGGGAATCGCTTCCAAGTGATCCCCTACGAAGTCTTCACGAACGCCACCACCGTGGAATTCTTGTCTCTAGCGAATAACGTGATCTTGAACGTGGACATGTCGAGGCTGGTCGGATTGGCCAGCCTGAGGGAGCTAGATCTAAGAGGCAACTACATCATGACGCTCTCCGGCTTCGCCGGAGTGAACCTGTCCAGGCTGATCTCCGTAGATCTGAGCCACAATCATCTGACCGCTCTGCCAGCGAACTTCTTCGCCAGATCGAACCTGCTGCGAAAGGTCGAACTGGCGGCCAACAAGTTCCATCAGATACCGGCGGTGGCATTGTCAGCGCAGAACATACCTAACCTGGCTTGGCTGAACGTCACGGCGAATCCCTTGGTCAGGATACACGAGATCAGCTCGGACGCCAGGTATCCGGCTCTCCAGGAGATCCATATATCGGGGACTAACCTGACTATAGTGACCAGCCGGGATTTCGAGGCGTTCCCTGCGCTGATGCATCTGTTCATGGGCAACAATATGATCTCCAGGGTGTCTCCCAGCGCGTTTCACAGTTTGCTGGAGCTGTTGACTTTGGACTTAAGCATGAACGAGCTGGAACTGCTGCCGCAGGAGAGGCTGAAGGGACTGGAGCATCTGAGGTTGCTGAATCTCACGCACAATCGATTGAAGGAGCTCGAAGATTTCCCGCCAGACCTGAAGGCGCTCCAGGTGCTGGATCTATCGTATAATCAGATCACCGGCGTCGGCAAGAGCACGTTCCAGCATCTTGAGAACTTGGCTGAACTCCACCTGTACGGTAACTGGATATCTTCGATCTCGCCGGACGCGTTCAAGCCGCTGAAGAAACTGAGGATCCTGGATCTCAGTCGGAACTACTTGGCGAATCTGCCGTTGAACGCGTTCCGGCCCCTCGAGACACAGATTAGGAGCCTTCGGGCTGAAGGTGAGATAACCGACTTGTTTTCACATTACGCGGTTAGAGGATATTACGCTTTGACGCGATTTTAGTCGTTTAGAATTGCCCTTCCATTGGTTTCCTCCGATTTTCTATTGAATCTTCTATTTAATCTTCGAATATTCTAATTTTTGAGATGGCCACTTCTAGGGTTAACACATTGCGTACCGGTAACGAGAAATCGTTTTTATAAAGGCACTTAGCTACGCAACTTCGCTAATTACATCATTGGAAAAATATAAAATTTAATTCGAATTGACTATCTATTTAACACTAAAACTACCAGACGGGTCAAATGACCCATGATGTCTTCTTTTCTGCAATTATTAGAAAGGTAACAAATGTTTCTCTGGGAAATTATTAAAGAAATTCATTTAGCCTGAACAGATGCACTCTTGGAGTTCCTGTAGCGAAATTTTAAAAAGTCAGTTGAACTGCTCGGTAGTTTTAGTGTTAAAATATATTACATAACAATATGATATCCGAGTTTCTCTATGTATAGCGATACAAGTTGACCTCAGTGAAAATTGTCATCACAGTTCAGTTCTCTAAAAATTAGCCGGTACGCAATATTAAGCAGAGTTTATCGATAATGTAAAATCAAGTAAGAATACAATTATCTACTACACAATGAGATTTATACACAAGTATAGTAATACTAACAAAAATCCCAAAGTGTTCAGGTATGTTTGAAAAGTTAGCATATTTGGCAACGAGATATTTTACGAGGTTAATGATGTATAACCGTGGCCGGTGCTCGCAGAGAATCCACTGCACTGCGACTGCGAGTCCCAAGAGCTATGGGAGTGGCTGCGCGATCATCAGAAGCTGGTGGGTGGCGGTGTGGGCAGGAATCGGGGCGGGGGCGGGGGATTGCGGATGAACGACATGGACAGCGGATTATTGAGGTGCGAACAGCCGCCGGAATTACGGGGGCTGGTGTTCCTGGACCTGGACCCGCACGCGTTCTGCTCCGCTCCCCTCATCCTGAAGCTCGCGATCCAGGACATCCAGCCGTTCTCCGTGCTGGTTTCCTGGCAGAGCAGGAATCACTCGGGTATTAGGGGATACCAGGTGGCCTACCACGCTCTGGAGAATATCAACGAGGTACGGGGAAAAAATCATTAATTATAATCTACGGGCTGGCTCCGGAAACTTCGTCCAACCAATCACGCAAAGGAACTGATAGAAACTCACGGAAGAACTGTGGAAACATTGATCTATTGCAATTATTGCAATATTACAATTGCATATTGTTGCATGTTACAATTGATTGTTCTATCTTCTTCAATCCAAAATCTGAAGAAAATATCGAAAAACTGGAACAAGTTATTGAGTTCCTAAATATAATATAAACAGCTTGTAACTTTAAACAACGATATCTGTAAGATTAATTTCATTTGCTTTATGTGAAAGATTGTCACAAATATGACACTTGTAGAACACGATAAGTACCAGCAAGCTCATAACTGTCAATCTATAAACACCGACGTAAATCAAATTAGTACCCAATTGATTTATCTGATTTCCTTTACCTAACTTTAAATAGCGATATCTATACGATTAATTTCATTTGCTTTATGTGAAAGATTGTCACAAATGACACTTGTAGAACACGATAAGTACCAGGAAGTTCATAATTCTCAATCTATAAGAAGCCACGCAAATAAAATTAGTTCCCAACTGATTTATCTAATTTCCTTTACCAGATACAATACTCCCGAGTAGAAGCAGAATAAATGACGTTTATTCCTCTGAAACTTCCAGATCAGGGCAAGGATCCTCGAGCCAAGCTCCCGCTCCACGAAGCTGTTCAAGCTGTCCGCGAACACGCACTACCGTATCTGCGTGTTCAGCCTAGGCAACTGGATGTCCCAGCACCTGGAGGAGGACACGATGGACCAGTTCAACTTCTCCAACCACGAGACGTTCGAGTCGGTGTCGGACGTGCAGATGACAGACACGTCGACCAGCCGTTGCACGGAAGTGAAGACGCTAGAAGCGCCGGAAGCCGTGATAAGCAGCGACGGCACCTCAATGGGCGACGTCGGCAGCGTGAGCAGCTTCCTGACCAGGCGTCTAGGCCTGATAGTCGGCTGCTGCATGGGGTTCGTGGTGTTCCTGCTGCTAGTGTCCGTCCTAGGCTACCTGAAGGTGAAGAAGCAGAGGGAGACGGTGAAGAGGGAGCAACCGATCCCGCCGGAGTACATCTCGTACAGGCACTTCAGCATACAGAGCGGAGAAGCCGGCCACGCGGCCAGGCAAGCCAGCCAGGAGGGCCACAACGCGAATTTCATCAACAGCATGGGCAACACGAACCTGAACGTATGAGACAAGCCAAAAAACTCCCGACTCGTGGAGGTTTCGAACGTTTGAGCGGACACCGTGGCGAGAAACCCATGGTTCCAGCGGCAAACGCGAAACACACCCGACTCGCGGTAGTTTACCAAAGCGGACAGGAAAATCTGAAGCCAATAACACCTCCCGAAGAGGATTGTAAGCTGAATTCTAATGAAGCCGAGACGAGGTTCCTCGGTTTCGAAACGAAATCATCGCACGGTCCACCGGCGGCGATGAACTCGAGGCGAACTCGACGCGGTGCGCGTGTGGAAGTGCGACGATCTGCGGACAATTCGCGGCGTTTTATATGTGATTTTCTACGAATCTTACCTAGCACTCGGCCACGAACGGCGGTCCAGCGCGAGAGGAAGCTGGCTGACAGTGAGGGATCGGGGAAAGGACCCGGGAAACGAGGGACAGCGCGTTCTCCGAGCGATTTACGAGCGAGAAACGTAGATACGCCGCGCAGAAGGTGGTATTGTGTTTTCGAAATGGCTCGGGAAACCGCTGGACAATGGCCAGCGCCGAGTTCTTGAATTTCCTGATATCGGCCGACGGGACGATGATGGATCGCCCCGGAACGTTTCAGGCCGAGTCCCGGCTCGCTCGAACGAACTTTTAGGCGAATTTTCGACGACTCTTCATCTAGCGAACGTAGTTCAATTTATAGGATCATTGATTCCGCTTGTCTCGACGGTAGAGGAAGTTTGTGAGAGAGAAAGAGAGAGTGAGAGAGTGAGAGAGAGAGAGAGAGAGAGGAAACTCGCGAAAAATGTGGATCGAATGGGAGCTGCGTGAGTTCGACGCGTTCGCGAGTTGACGCGCGTTGTTTCGAATGGGATCGTTGTTGTCGCCGCGCGCGGTGAATGCGTTGGATATCGCGCGTCTCTTTCAGCTGTACCATAGCCTATCCACGGTCGTTATCAGGAACACATTGGAAATTAGATTCCGAGCTGCGTAATATCCAGCGAATTGCTGTTCGGCCGATGCGGCACGACAGAGGGGTTGGTCCGGGTTTATGGCAGTGTCTCGTTGTCGGGCAGTCAGTATTTGTATGTACCGTCTGTATGTAAGCGTGTGTGTGTGTGTTCGTGTGTGTGTGTTTCGGGTGTGAGCGAGAGATACGGGGAGGGGAGAATGGTGATAAACTGTGTGCTCGTCGGGTGAAATGGAAAATAAACGGTCGATAGGTGTGCATCGTTCAATTGCATCGCGAAAGATCTCAGATGTACCACACACTGTGTCATGTAATATATACGTACGTCACTGTAATAAAAATGCAAATTCTTTTTTAACCGGCTGCTGTTTCTCTCATTAGCCTCTGTTCTGTTTGGCTCGTTAGACACTTCCAACAAAATCCCATTAATTCCTCGATCCTCGCGAGAGGTTTAACCCTTGGCACTCCAGATGGTTTTGTAATTTATCAGCAACTAATTTTTATGGTATCTACAGTGAAAATGAAAAATGCTGTAACATTCCTTCGATCTTTTATTTTCCTTCTCATCGCAAAATTTGGATGCGTAAATCTAATAATTTTAGGCTAGTTTCTTTGATTCATTAAAATATTTGATATTAGAACTGCTGCGATATTGGAGCCTACAGAGTTCAAAGGGTTAAAGGTGTAATTTAATTTGGTTGGTTGTTTTGTAATCAACCAGGTTGTTTTGTAATCGATCAGCAACTGCAACTAATTTTTATAGTATTACGAAAATGAAAAATGCTATAATATTTCTTAGATCTTTTATTTTCCTTCTCATCGCAAAATTTGGATGCGTAAATCTAATAATTTTAGGGTAGTTTCTTCGATTCATTAAAATATTTGATATTAAAACTGCTGCAATATTCAAGCCTACAGAGTTCAATGGGTTAAATCTTTAAAGATCGAACATCATTCCTCGCAACAAATAATTTACAAAAGCAAACCTTCTTCCGTTCCTCTCAAAACACATCTTCAAAGCCATCAATCAATCCACGTTCATTAACCCTTAGCGGGGTTCTTCGAAATATACAAAACCTTTGCATATCGATTGCTTAAACAATGAAAACAAAGGAAACTACGTAATCTCTTGCTGTTTCAATAACTAAATCATTCATTTGTTACTTAGTGCTCCAACTATGAAAATCCGATAAATCTCTATAACGTCGACATCCGTCCGCAGAGGGTTAAAACATTCTTCCTTCGCTCGACAAGCACGATCCACCCTTCGAACCCTTTATCCGCTTGAAGCAAATAAAAATCAGAACAATTCAGCCAGAAGTTTTCCAGCCGAGCAATTCAATCGCGGAGCCAAAGCGATATTAAACAGACACGGAAACGTAGTCACCGGACTCTCAAAGTGTTCCTGGCTCGCAGAATGCGCGCATAGACAGTCGGTAGTCGCGAAGGTAATCGGAATCTTTAAAAGACGCGATTCCCTCAACTATTCCCTGAACTCTCCCCTCTCCCTCTCTCACTCTCTCTCTCTCTCTCTTGCTTGCTCTCCTTTTTCCAGAGGGCAGGACCGGCTCGCATAAATTTCCAACGTCTCGACGAAACGCTTCCCGTCCGCTTTATCGTATTTCCTTGCAATTAACCCCACCCGGCGACCCCGGCCCGGCTTCCTACGAAAGAGAAGGCATCCTGCATATTTCATTCACCGTCCCGGCGCGAAGAAAAGGCCACCGACTTTCTGGTACCGTCCGTCTTCCGGCGCGGAAGGGACGGTGACCCGTTCGGCTCCGGCGAATCGAAATCCGAAGTTCTGGACGTACGATGGTCAGAGGAAGAACCGACACAGGCGCCAGGTTTTACTTGGACCTTGGAGGACGTAGGTAATTTTAACGTGGCAATTAACCTTCTCTGGCAGCGTGCTTTGGAGAGTGGACAGTGATCTTTGGAGGATTGACGGAGTTTTATAAAAAAAATGGTTCCTTTCTTTATCTGTTTAACCCTTCATAGGGATCAAATTACAGGGACTCTGTTTGCCATTTTGATCCTTATGGTGTTGCAGGAACGGTGGCACAAATAGCCACCATAAAACAAGGAATCTATGAAAATTTCGACAAAAATTCTCAATAATAATTATTTTTTAAAGTGTTTCTGATATGTATACAGTAGGGAATACGAATTATCAAAAAGATAGTTTGCCCTATAAAGGGTTAATCTATGTGCTTCTGTTAATTTAGCTCTTCTCGGTTGTTAAATGGATTGTAACAGTGATACAAATATAATTGAGTTGCGACAAATTTCTGAGCGGTAAACCTAAAACACTCGTTCGAAGTTTCAAGCTACCCAAGTCGAGATGCTGATGATTATCTCCGCGCATCACTGAAAGCAGGTACGCGTCTCTAAGACAGCAGTCGCGACAGAAATTGGTAACAAATCCCAAACAGCCGACAGCTTCCTTTCTCCGCGAGTGTCACGTCGGCCGCACTCTGTCCGAAGTGCTGAAAAGCTTGAGGCATCGTTATCCAGCGCGTGCTGCCCGCGCAGCCATTAATCTTCGTCGGAATAGCTCGCCGAGTCGACCGGTGTTAGGTGAGCGGCGGTGTTCGACGGCCATCAAGATCGCCGTGTCCTGCGACACCCGCTCAACTGGCATTTAACACCTTCACGGCCAGCGTCGCGTATCCGTGACGCTTATAATTCCAAAATCTGACTGAAGCACTGAATACGAAATTCAATGACTTTCTAACCAAATACCTTACTACTGAAAATTCCGTTTTCGCGGCCAGCGTCGCGTATCCGTGACGCTTATAATTCCAAAACCTGAACGAAGAATTGAATACGAAATTCAATGACTTTCTAACCAGATACATTACTATTGAAAATTCCGTTTTCGCGGCCAGCGTCGCGTATCCGTGACGCTTATAATTCCAAAACCTGAACGAAGAATTGAATACGAAATTCAATGACTTTCTAACCAAATACCTTACTACTGAAAATTCCGTTTTCGCGGCCAGCGTCGCGTATCCGTGACGCTTATAATTCCAAAACCTGAACGAAGAATTGAATACGAAATTCAATGACTTTCTCACCCGATACCTTACTACTCACAATCCCGTTTTCGAGATCATCGCGCAGTGTAACAGGTGGAACGTCGACATTTCCCTGAAATTTCATTTTCGTATCACACAGAGGATTAGTTGGACTTAACGGAACATTCTAATTACGAAGATTAGCCATTGAAGCGAATTCCAGGATTCCGTTGACGGGAAAAACCACCGTCGAGATCCCTGAAACCCGAATTCCCCGTTGAATGAATAAAACGCGGCGAAATTCCGCTAACGAGACCGCGGAAAATCCGCGGAGCAGCGTTCGCGAAAATTTACGTTTCTTCTCGGTCCGCGGGGGAAACGGATCGGCCGGTTATTTTTGTCGCGGCTCGCGCAAGATATGCGAAAACAATCACGGGGGATAGTAAAAAATTGAAATTGTGTTACGGCCGAGTTAACAGCTGTCCGCCGTGGAAGTTTTCCAGCGGCGCGGCAGTCAACGTCGACTCGAAAAAGCCGGAATTTTCCGACCGGGAACGGTTCCATCCGCGGAAACGGGAATTTTTCGGGCGCGCGGCATGCGGGGGAGGGCCGAACGCGAAATTGCACGCGGGAAAAAGCCGGCGGAAACACGGCCGAAAGTCACGCGCGCGCCGCAGCGCATTTTTCTCGGCTGATAGGGCTGTCCAAGCGTCTCTCGTTTTACTCTTTAATCTCTTTTGACGCGAGCGCGCGCCTCGCCGGCGGCTGGCCATCGCCGCCGAGGTTCTAAATGAGGGCTCATTAATCGTGCAAAACGCGCGGACGCTTCCTGAAAAATGTCGCGGCATGTTAGGCTCTTTTTAATCTGCCGTGTCGCGGAGAAGTCGGGAATCATGTGCCCTGTTGAGCACAAATCTTTTTAGATCAATTGAATTTTATGGAAATGCTGAATGGATTTGAGAACATTTAGGTAATTACGATGAACCGATGTCGGTATGGTTGTAATTTAAGCTTGTTACTGAATTGAGTCTGTTGGACTAGTTTTCTGATTATTTCTGTGATTGGTCTGATCAATTTTGTTTTTACTACTTGCCAAGCAATGAATATAAATGTTATTGTCTAGCACATTCACTACTTATTTTAACCCTTGCACTCGAGAGGTGACTCTCACCACTCGATTCGATACAGTAAAACTATAGAATGTGACATTTAATGTTAAACTTTGTACAATGCCTCGATACGTGAAACGTTGGAATAAAACAGCTTTCCTCAATGTACTTGTAATGTTCCTTCGAGTTAGTTTCAAGAAAGTCTTCGCCTGAAGAAATGTTAAATTTCTGGTGATAAACTTCCGAGTGCGAAGGGTGAAAGTAACATGTTACTCGGAGAAAGTAAGAAATTGGTTTAGCAACAGGTAAACTGAATTGTGAATCGATTAAAATTTCGATAGATGCACTGTTGCAGTTTCCATAGAGGAATTTCGGAGAGTCGAGTCAACTGCTCTGTAGTTTTAGTGTCAACGTGATTATGCTTCTGAAGTAGATTTGTCAAAAAGGACATCGTCTCCGCCTCGTAAAGAAATGTTAAATATTTCTAGTAAGAAACATCCGAGTGCAAAGGGTCAAAAGAGAAGTTCTATATCACTTTCCTAAGTGAAATCAGATTTATCCTGCGCGTCTGGTTAATGGCAGACTTATACTACTATAATATCACT